AAAACACCTCTAGCGTATATACTACCTACCTAATTAGCCACTCTACTAATGGGTTATAAGTCTTAAGCTTACTACCGGCGTTGATAAGCAATTTAAACAAGAGCACACTAGAGATAGATATCTTATAGCTCTAAAAGTAATGAGAAGTATTAATTAATGGGAAACCTGGCTTACTAAACATAATTAGGCAGCTATAGAAGCAGAGACCTATAGGGTTACTAAAGTAATATAACTAAATGTAATTATAAAGGACTTTCTAGTAGCCATTAATAAAGTGGCACCCATATAGGCTATAGCCTTCTAAGACTATAGTAGATACGCCGCCGGCATAACTAGAAAGGAGATAATAAAATGGTTCCAAGAATATATAATGGTAAACTACCCTAGCGTGAAGAGTAAGCACAAAGTAGCCTTTATAACTAATAGAGCCTTTCTTGCTAATAGTAGTAAAACTACTTAGGGTAATAATAGGGACGCCTCTCATGCTGAATACGCGCCATCTAAGGGACGTCCCTTAAAATGAAAGAGAGCGTATCCATACGGGACCTCTTAGCTATTATATAATAAGCCTTTAAACACCACAGGCCCATACCCAGCGTGTAAATAAAGCTATATAGCCAAAGACTACTTTTACCTTTATAAGGAACTAGCACCTGCATGGTAGAAACTAAGACCAGCTATTAGTAAACTAATTAAGCTTAAATATAAGCATGATAGCGCGTTTTAAGGGCTAATTTAAGGTTAAAGTAGATCACGAATATAAATACCTTATATTAAATAGTCCCATACGCTAACGCCGACCCGATTAATAGAGGTAAGTAATGAGTAACTAGATAGCCATGAAGACACGTTAGTCCATATAAGCTTTAATATAGCAACTCTCTCTAAGCCAAATACGTACCCACTCTATAACTTAGCAATCCTTAACTTAGGCACAACTTGCCATATCTTTAATAACATTAATTAATTTCTCGCACTACGGCTACTAAGGCTAGGTAACTTCATATGGGCTAGGAATACGTAAGTTTAGATATAAGGATATAGTAGTGTCTATATACGTTTAAAGAGCACGCGCAGTAATAGTATAATTAGGCTAGATAATAT